TTTTTGCCTGGAGGCCATGTGGATTTTTCTTTTATCTTTAAGGTCCAATAATTGTATAAGACTATGTCTATAATATTAAGAATTCTCAGTTTTTCACAGTACACAATGGATGGGTTTTTAAATGTTTAATATTTGGTTCCTTTCCAAATTTTTTGTCTGAGAGATATGGAGAATGGAAGTGCCAATGAACTGAGTTGAGTAGAACAGGTTGGGATTGGAGCCTAAAGGTCAAGAGTTCATGTTTTAGGCACATTAAGTTTGAGATGCCTGTTAGATAGCCAAGTGCTGTTGTCAAATAGGCAGTTGCATATAAAGCCTAAAGTTTGGGGAATGGTCCGGGCTAGAGATAGAAATTTGGGCATTGAGTTTGTAGGTAATATTTAAAGCCATGTGGTAAAAGAGAGTAGGAGAAGGCAAAGAAGACAAGAGTTCTAAGAACCACCTTGAAGTGGTTACCTATCAGAACAGTAAGGGTTATGGTGGTGTGGTGGAGGTGCAAGCTGGTGTGGGTTCATAAGGGCATGTAAGAAGAATTGGAGACATTGAGTGTACACAGTGCTTTTGAGGAGTCTTGCTGTAAAGGGGAGCCAAGAAATGGAGTCATAGCTATAGGGCAAAGTGAGGTCAAAAGAAGATGGTTTTATTTTTAAGAGAGAAGAAATACTGTTTAGGCTGGTCTGCGTGCAGTGGTGTTTACAACTTATTGATCACAACCAGTTAAAGATTCCTTTGTTCCTTCTCTACTCCCACTGCTTCACTTGACTAGTCTAAAAAATTAAAAAATAGAAAAAAGCTTTTTAAATAAGAAATACTGTTTATATGCCATTGTAGCTGATCCAGTTGGGATCCAATTAATGTTGCAAATGAGAGAAGGGAGAACTGCTGGAGGTACTTCCTCAAGTTTGTGAGAGGGATCAGGACCTGGTTCTTAAGTGGAAGAAAGTGTCAGGAGGGAAGCAGTGTTTATGGTGCAGGTGCTGATGGCAGGTAGAGGTGGTATGGGAGCTTCTTATTTTCATGTATGAGGAATCGTCTAAAATGATTCGAAGAAATTTAGAAAAATAAAACTTTAGCATATAGAAAGACTTACCATGTTCTTGCAGAATAGATTAAGCATTGTAAAGATCTATAAAGGTAATGTAGATCCAGTAAAAATGCAAGCAGAAATAATACAAAAAATCTGAAAAGAATAATTAGGGTAGGCACTAGCCCCCACCAGTTATTAAAGCCTCCTGTACAGTTGCAATAATTAAAGCAGCTTGTTATTGTCACCTGAGTAATCAAATCAGTGTGCAAGATTATACACCTTAGAAAGGGGAATTTATGTGACACAGGTGGCATTCAAATCAGACAACTAGGTAGCTATCTGAGAATACGTTTGGGATTAAAGCTTCCACTTTA